ATGTGGGAATCCCGTTACAAAGAATCCGTTACAAAGATCGGTCAGCCCTAGATCTTGGAGTGCCGATCGAAATGAATTTTGCCCTAGAGATTGGAATAGCGTCCCAAAAAAAACATTCAGGCCCAGATTTTCTACATTTTGGAATGCCGTTCCGAAACAATTGAACCCTAGATTTGGGAATACCGTTCCCAAACAGGTCATCCCTAGATTTTGGAATGCCGTTCCCAAAAATCATTCAGCCCTAGATTTTGGAATACCGTTCCAGCACTTCACATTCAGCCTCAGATTCAAAAAGTCGTTCCAAAAGCATTGAGCCCTAGATCTTGGAATGCTCTCCCAAGAGGCCTCCAATATAGCCCTAAAAACCACAGGGGGCCCGAACATTGTTTTATGATGTTGGTCTTCTGTGTTCCTGCTATAAATGTTGCTGTTGCTGTTGCTGCTGCCTGTGCCGTTGCCCCTGCTCTGAGTCTTGCTTCAGTTGGCGCTGTCGCTGTCGCTGCCGGCGGCAAGTTTTGCCCCCACCCCGGAGCCTGACCCCCAGAGGCCCCCGTGGTTCCTGGAGATTCCCATGGCCCTGTGGGCCCCCGGAGGCACCCAAAGGCGCCAGACGCCACAAAATGACAGAAAACGCCCAAACCCGAAGCATCCGATAACCTCCCCCCTCGATCCTCGAGGACCGGGGGCAGAACTTACCAGCTGGTGCTGCCTCTGCTGCCTGGCGCCGTCGTTGCTGCTGCTGCTGCCAACGCCCGAGACCTCCAACGATTCGAGTTTTTCGGGCCGGGCGAAAGGGGGGGGATTGGGAAAGGGGGTGCTACGAAATCTGCTGCATGCAGCTGGTTTCGGCCCCGCCCACAGGGGCCCACTCCTCGATGCATAGCCGCCTCTGGCGCCGGGAGGCGCCGGGAAAATCAGCTACGTGAGCTGGTTCTCAAACCCCCCCTTTGCTATCCCCCCCTTGTGCCCGGCCCGAGAATCGCCCTCTCCCTCTCTCCCTCCCCCCGCCTGCCCCCTCGCCCTCCTCCCTCTCCCTCCTCCCCCCTGCCCTTTCCTCCTCCCCCTCTGCCCTTTCCTGTCCCCCCCGCCTTCCCTCCCCTGTCCCCCCCTCGTTGCTGCTCCCTCCTCCTGTCCCTTCCTCCCTTTCCTCCCTTCCTCCACCCTCCTTCCCCCTTCCCCCACCCCCTGCCCGCGCCTTCCTCCCTTCCTCGGGAGCGGCGCGCGCCGCGCGCCGAGCGCGCGGGGCGGCGCAGGGCCCTCGAGGCCCTCCGCGCCCTCCACGTCGCGGCCGTCGCCGTCCAGGCCCCCAGCCTCGAGGCGGGGCCGCGGCGGGGGCAAGGGGGGGGAGGGGGGGGGGAGGTGGAGTGAGAGAGGGGGGGGGAGGGCAGGAAAGGGAAGGGGGGGCAGCAGGGGGAGGAGGGGGGAGGGGGGGGGAAAGGGAGACCATGAAGATCGCCGCCCCTTAGATCCGAAGATCTAAGATAAGTTCTAAGTTCTAAGTTAAGGGCAATTTTAGATAAAGGGGCGATCTAAGGGGAGGATTTAAGTTAAGTTAAGGGGCGGATCTAAGGGGCGGATCTAAGGGGCGGATCTAAGGGGCGGATCTAAGGGGCGGTTGGACGCCTCCCAAGCCCCGTCCGATCACCTCCAAACCACAACGGCGACGACCGCGCCACACCCCCCTCCACAGGTGGGATGGGCTAGACCTCCGCTGGCGAGGCAAATCAACTCACCAGGGCGAGGGCTTGTGCCAAAATGGCTACTGAAAAGGAAGAGGAAGAAAAGGAGAAGGAAGACAGGGGGGGGGCGTGGGGGGGAGGAAGGGGGAGGCGGAGGAGGATAAAATAAGAATAAGAAAAATAATAAAGATGAGGAAAACGGCGGAGCATGATGAAAGGAGGGGGGAAGAGGTGGAGGATTACACGGGTCATAATGAGGGCGAGGGAGGACGGTGCGAGGGGGAAGATGGGGATAAGGAGGGGGAGGTGGAGGTGTAAGAGGGCTGGGTGTCCAGAACGGGAGCCCCAACCGAACCCTTACGAAGGGGAGGGGCCGAATTGGGTGCCATTAAGCACCGACGGGCCCACAAGGGCCGACAGAGGCACCGAAAGGGTGCACACCCCCACCCAGTCCGAGCCAGACGACGGGAGCGGCGGGTGCTGGCGAAAGCCTGGAGGATGGCGGACACGGCAGAGAGGTAAGGACACGCTCTACCAGTTGAGGATCATCCTCCCTCCTGCTCCTCCCTCCTGCTTGTCTCCTCGTTATCTGCCTCCTCCCTCTCCTCTCCGTCTCCTCCCTATCCTCGTCCTCACGCTTTTCCTCATTCCTACTTGCATCCTCGTTATCATTGTTTCCTTCCGTAGTTGTTGCAATTGCGTTTAAAGCTACATTATTTTTTATCAGTTCACCTTGCAACACATTCCTGTGCTAAAGCCAGGGCCTTCAAGTACCGAGGCATGAAGTAGCACGGTACGTTGTGTTTTGCAGTTCCTCGGGTGGCGTACCCAGCGAGGATTTTACAATGCTTCATAAAATCTTCATCCAACCAGCACGCTACCCTACGGGGGTGGAGCCAACGGCTCCTCGACATCCAGTGCCAAGCCCAGTGTAATTTTGGCACTGCTGAAAAACAATGCGTATCATCCTCCTCTGCTCTCCGACCTTCCCCCTCTCCACCCCTCCCTCCTCCTCTCCCTCCTATCCTCCACATATCCTCCCTCCTCTTCCTCCTCCCCCGTGTACCCCTGTGCTTCAATCTTCGATTTAGGACATCGCCCTCATTTCGTAGAGAAAGCGAGGCTCTCTTGGGCGATGTTCGGGCCCGAGCTGTTCCCCTGAAAGTGCACCCCTGGATTCCAAGAGGCCCCCTTCAAATGCAGTATTTATTTCCTTTGCCCGTGCAGCCTGCTGTGCCATTCGCTGCGTTCAATTCCGCCAGCCGCGCACGTTTCTGATGTCTCCCTGGCATAAGAAACGAACGGTTACCGCTCGAGTCAAAACTGCAATGTCCCATCGGGAAGAGGGGGGGAGGGCGTGGCACGCATGATGAGGATAGCGTTTAATGCTCCCCAGACGTGTTTGCTTCTCCGTCATATTGGCACGGTGCAATCGCTATCACAAAATGTAAGCTCTGATTTTGGCATGTGGCATTATATTAGGGACGCAACGCAATGCGAATGCACTCTCTGATTTGCTAGCGCTGATGCCATGCACCTGCGAACATACGTTATATCATCATTGTTAAAGCAGGCGCTGATTGGGGCCACGCGCTGCAAGCACTGTCTTGGGATTTGGGGGGTTATGAATGCAAGCACTAATTGGGGATCCATGGATGCAAGCACTGATTGGGGCCACCTTCTGCAAGCACTTATTGCAAGCACTGTTTGGGGATCTATGAGTGCAAGCGCTGATTGGGGTCACGCACTGCAAGCACTGTCTTAGGATTTGGGCATCTATGAATGGAAGCACTGATTGGGGATCCATGGATGCAAGCACTGATTGGGAACACTGTCTACAAGCACGTACTGCAGGCACTCTTTCTAGACCTGTCAGTGCAAGCACTGATTGGGGATGCAGGCGTTGTGGTGGGATCCCCCGAACTCCCCGTCCTCGTCATCCCTGGTAGCACTTGTATTTATTGCGGTCGGGGACTCTTAAGGGGGGGGGGCGTTTATTGCGGTCGGGTACTCTTAATGGGGGGACTCTTAAGGGGGGCGTTGTCTCGAGCCTTCCCCATCTTGGAGCACAACTGTTTCTTACTTTTGCGATGGCGAGCATTGCTGGTCACCTGAAACCCTGCGATTGTCTATGCGCGCCAAACGAAATCAGCGCTCCCCTGCATGGCGAGACACAGCCCTGCACAGAGTGCGAGTCCGCAACCGCGAACCCGCACTCGCTGGTACTGGACAAAACAGAGCAGCGACTACCATGACATCTATGCGCGTGCCCAGGCAAGCATTTACATACCGTACAGACGCCACCGAGCCCGCCACCAGAGCCGAGAAGAACGGCAGGAGATGAGTCCCCCTAATGCCAGCGACACCGACGGCTGCATTCTGGAGCGCCAGATAAGTATTTACATGTAGTGCAAGCGCGGCGCAGCAGCTGTCGTACATCGGTATGTTCATTTGTTTTTCTGTGGGCTTCGTTTCCAATGTATTGTATTCCCCAGGGTGCTGGTGCAGTGCTGTTTCACGCCACCTTATTGGCCGCGATATCAAAACCCTAAACCTTGACAATTTGGGGGTTAGGGTTCGTTATATTGTTATGTCTCGGGAGTGCAATTCAGTTCGAATCTTGTGGCCTGACCTGTTGTAGTTTCCAGGGTGTTGGGACAAACAAAAATCACGGACCCTACCCAGGAAATCTAAAGCACCAGCCACTCGATTGTCCCAGGGGGGAGCAGTGGGGGGGCGAGGTTAGAAGGAAACCGATTGGGAAGATGAAGGAGAGAGGACATCTGACCCTGATCGATCCTTGATTTATCTTAGATTTATATTAGATTTATATTAGATGTATATTAGATGTGTCTTAGATTTATATAGGAGTTATCTTAGATTTATCTTAGATTTATCTTAGATTTATATTAGATTTGTAAAATCTAAGATATGTTATAATAGATTTGCTAACTTTAAGATACATATAAGATAAATCTAATATAAACCTAAGATACATTCAATGTCAAATATACGATAAATCTAAGATAAATCGAATATAAATCTAATACAAATCTAAGACACATCTAATATCTATATAATATTGGTATAGCATTCGCACGATATGGTTTTCCTCATCGTAATTATTTTCTGTGTTTTTTCCATTCGAACCAACTTGGGGGCAATGAATATGTGTGTGTTCTTTTCACAAGTCCCCCCCCCCCCCGCCCCTCCCCCTAAGTTTCAGCTAGCTGACCGCGCGTGGCAGCTGCACAAAGCAGCCTCGCGCGCAGGACGGAGTGCTGGCGCTCTCGCAGGCTGGCTTCACGAGGCCCGAACGGCCTTCTGCTTCTTCTTATCGTTGGTGATGATGGCCTTGAGCTGCGTGTGGATCTCGGCCAGCTGCTCGTAGATCTTGCCTGATGCGATGAGGGCGTCCTCTGCCTCGAGCTTGCGCACTTTGGCGGGGTCCGTCATCAACAACTTCTGAATCTTCTCGGACGGCCCCGCAGCTTTCTTGAGGAGGTCCAGGCTCTCCTGCGCGATGCGCCTGATTACCTCGTTCGTGGTGATGCGGCACACCTGCGGGGCCATCCTCTGCAAGTCGAGGGTCACGCTCGTGAAGCTGTCGTTGCAATTCTGCAATAGCATCATGTCCGTCTCGTCAGCGCAGTCGTCCTTGATGGCCTTTCTCTCGTTCTTCGGCGTTTTCTCGATGACCAACCACTCGGGCTTCTCCACGTCGTCGAGGAAGTCGGCAATGGCACCCATGAACTGCTTCTTGTCCTTAGGGTTCCAAACCTCCGTGCTCATCTTCTTCTGGCCCTTCGAGTCGGTGTTATTCTTGATCCTCGCGTCGTACTGGTAGCGAGTGTTGTCCTCGGGATCCGTCCAGACGTCTCCGTCATCCTTGGCCCCTTCGAACGCCGTCTTGCTGCCGTTGAAGACCGTCGCGACCATGATGTTCTTCTTCAAGCTCGTGGCGACGTCGGAGTCCTAGAGGGGGTCGTCGTTCGATCATCCGTCTCTTCGTCCATCCCCTACTCCTCCTATCGTCCCATCGTTCCTATCGTCCTCCGCCACCTCCGATCGTCCTCCACCTCCCTCTCCTACCTGCCATCCTCACCCACATCACCCCCCCGCCGCAGGGGTGGTGAGGATATTCAGAAAAACGCAAAAAGCCGATGGTCCTTCTTCACGTGCTCCCGACAGTTCACGCGCGTCAGAGCGCGCGCGTCTGGCTCGATGGTGGACCCGTAGCCCGCGTTCCGCGGCACGTACGCGTTGATGATCTCGTTGGCCAAGCGCTCCTTGCCCTTGATAGTGCACTCCTTCGACTTGTACAAATCGAACTTCCTGAGGTCCTCGGGGTCGATGCTCTCCCTGCTGCTCTTGAAGACGTGGCGCTGGGCAAGCGACGTCTGCCGCTGGTCGGGCTCGCCCTCCTTGCGAATGGCAAGCTCGGTGTCCTCGCTGAACGTGGCTGGAGTCGACTTTGCACCAGCAGCCGCAAGCTGCCACATATCCTTCCTAGCATCGGCCCTGCCACTGGGATCTATCGTGGCCGCTGCTGGACGCTTGAGAGGCCTGGCAGCCGCGGCCGCTGCTGGGCGCTTGTTCGCCCCCCTCGGCGGCATGGTTCCTGAACTCAGGTGAAAACCGCTCTCGTAGAAAAAAAACTCGATCGAATCAGATTGCAGATGCCCAAATTCGCTCGAGCCACAATGTCTACATACGGGGGGGGGGGGGCTGGACTGGGGCTAAGTGGGTGTCTTCTTGGGGTAGTGTCTTTTGGAACGTTTTTTTTTTTGTTTTTTGTTTTGTTTTTGTGTGTGTGTGTGTTTTTTGTGGTAGTTTTCTTTTCAGGGATAATCTATGTTTTCGCACGTTCATCGCGAACCCCAAACGGCAATCAGCGTGGACCCCAAACAGCGTTCAGCGTGAACCGTTGAACCCCGAACACGCGTTGGGATAATTTCTTCTCGGGGGTGAGTTTTTCACAGCTAACCGCGGGCGTTGACGCCTGCATGGCCGAAGTCGACGGAAGACGTCCAATGCAATGCATTGATTCTCGAACACCCGCAATCGAATGAAATAAACACTTACCTGAAGCAGCGACGCAATCATTCGCCAAGCCAACAATCATTTGGGCTCATCGGCGCTCTTAAGAAAGACATCGCGAAGCTCGAGCGCCTTTGCCTTCGTCATAGGCTGCTTCTGCATGGCTGCGAAAAGGCGCTCCATTGCGGAAAACTCATGTGGTTTTGCCGTCGTCCAGATGTGGGCCCTCTTGTTAGAATCGGTAAAGGCGGTGGGCTCGACGCGGGGGGCGCCCCTCATTAGTTGGCCCCGACTTCTTCGGCCGAGTGAAGATGAGGGCCTCCGTCTTCTCGACGCTCTGGGCCACGCGGCCCTTGGGCACAGGACGGGGCGTCACTGGCTCAGGGGGCTCGACGGCAGGGGCTGCTGACGGGGCCATCAGGGGCGAACTCGGGGACGCTGCTGGCCTCCCCCGCTTGTTCTGCTGTGCGAGCGGCTGCTGCTTGCCCAGCATGCGCTTGCGAGTTGTCTAACACCCCAAGGACGATTGCCCCGAAGTAAAACTAACGTCCCCAAATCTCGATTAGTATACCGAAAATGTCCCGATTTCCCAGGGATCCAGAGTGTCCATTTCTAGAGGGGGGTGGGGCTGGTCGTCCTCGTCCTCGTCGTCGTCGTAGTCGTCGTCGTCGTCGTCGTCGTCGTCGTCGTCGTGGTTATCGTCGTCACTGCTGTCGTCGTCGTCGTCGTCGTCGTCGTCTCCGTCTTCCTCCCTCGTCCCCCTCCTCATCTCAGTTTTGACCCAACTTGAATCCGAATCTGTGCCTGCGCCGACGCCTTGCGCTCCTGCGACCGCTGCCCGAGGAAGCTGGGGCCGCCGACCATGCCCTGGAAAACTCCGTCCTCGTCGTAGAATGCTGCTGGCTGGATCTCCTTGGCGGGGCTCTCTGGGACGACGGCGGGGCCCTCTGCGGCGACGGCGGGGCCCTCTGGGACGACGGCTGCGGGCGCACTGGCCTCCTCAGGGTACTCGCTGGTCGGCTCGATATCCGCGTCATCGTCGATCACGTCTGCCTTGAGATGCTTGGGCAGCGACTTCTCAGTGAACGGGGCCTTGTAGCGCATGAGCAAGGCATGTCGCGTGTCGGGAGGCTGATCGCGTACTTGCACTTCAGCGGTCGATGTGCCCGAAGCCCGAGACGCAACGGACCGACCGTCGTCTGAAAAGCACTCCTTCTCCAAGCAAGTCAGCTTCACGGTCTTGAGCAGGCCGTGCACCAGGATGCTGTCTGTGGCGCTCATGTTCTTGCGAAATCCACCAGTTTTCGGGTAGCGCCTCCTTTCAGAAGGAGTCGTTTGTTCGTGATCGTCCTCCAGCTTGTACAGGCGAAGCGCATTGAAGACAAGCCTCACATGGTCGCCTACCTCGGTGATCCAGCGCGTCTGGCAATAACCCTTCGGTGGCTTCTCGCCACTGGGGGTGGACCTCAAGATTGCTGTCTCGATCTTCGGCATGGGCAAAACGCAGTTCTCGAACCCTATCTCAAGAAAGCCTTGGAGCAACGGTGCCAGAGTCGCCATCATATTCGGCGTAACCTTGTGCTGCTCTTTTCCTAAATGACAAAACACGAGATCGTTCCAACTCTCGTTGCCCTTGAATTTCGCAACGACTGATGAAATCACATCCTGCTGAACAGATGGGTTGGCGACTTCGCGAGGCTTCCTACTCTGGGAGGCCATGAGGCCAGAGGAAGATTGCAGATAAATGTGCTTGAACAAAAATGGCTACGATATGACGGGAATGTTGTAATGAACTCTCTCGTGCTGCGTTTGGCGTGAGCCCCAAACAGCGCGAACCCCAAACAGCGTGAACCCCAAACAGCGCGAACCCCCAAACAACGTTCAGCGTGAACCCCAAACGTGTTGAACCCCAAACAACGTGAACCTAAAAAAGCGTGAACTCCAAACAGCTTTCAGCGCGAACCCCAAACAGCGTTCAGCGTGAACCCCAAACAGCGCTCAGCGTGAACCCCAAACAACGTTCAGCGTGAACCCCAAACGTGTTGAACCCCAAACAGCGTGAACCCCAAACAGCGTGAACGCGCGAACCCCAAACAACGTTCAGCGTGAACCCCAAACAGCGTTCAGCGTGGACCCCAAACAGCGCTCAGCGTGAACCCCAAACGCGTGGCCAGCGTGAACCCCAAACGTGTCGCCAGAATCCGCTGACCCTCAAGGAGGCCACCAGGTGCATGATACTATCAAAACTTATACCCAGCCAACCAACCCAACCAACCAGCCAGAACAAAACGCAACGAGCCCGACCGACGCATCGCGCGCGCACCCAACGGAAATAGAAAGCACGAACAATTTTGCATACTGATGGATTTCAGGCAAGGGTCGGATTTAAGGTCGGGTTTCGGGTACGGTGACGGGAAAGGAAACTAAGGGACGAATCTAAGGGGCGATTCTAAGGTAAAGGGAAAGGAATCTAAGGGGCGAATCTAAGGTAAAGTTTAAGTTTAAAGTTAAGTGTAAGAAAGATAAGGGTCAGAAGATCTAAGTTCAAGTCTGTTCCGGAAATCTAAGGGGCCCTGAGCCTTATGGGAGGGGGAGGGCGGGGAGGAGAGGGAGAGGGAGAGAGGGGGGGCGAGGGGGCGAGAACGAAAGAGAAGAGAGGGAGGGGGAGAGGGATACAAGAAAACGAGAAAAGCAAGAAGCGAGGAAGAGGAAGAGGGAGATGATGATGATGATGATGAAGCGCCTTGAAAGGTCGGTCCTCCAAAACCACGAACACTGAGAAGCCACCAGGCGCCAAAAGCGCGAGGCAGGGACTCAAGACAGAAGAAGGAGAGGGAATAAGACAGGAGAAAACGTTTCAACCCAAATCAGAATCCCACAGAAGTGATGCACATAAGTGAGCTGTAAGATTCAACCCAAGTGTAAGGCAACAGAATTGAAGGCAAACCCAGGTCCGCTGAGTCGGCGTGACTGATGACAAGAAACCGGGAGAGGGAGAGGGAGACGAGACGAGACGCGAGGAGATGGGGGGGGAGGAGGGGGGGAGAGGGAGAGGGGGGGAGGAGGAGGGCGAGGCCTGAATTGCAGCGAAATGCGTATCCGAAAGAGGAGGGCAAGGGAGGAAGGGGGGAGGAGGGGAAGGAGGGAGAAGTGGTGGAGGGGGAATGGGGAGGAGCTGCAGCAGGGGCAGAAGCGAGAGCAGCGAAAGCACCGCAGGCGGGAACAGCAGGAGAAATATGTTTTTGGGGAATGCAGAAATCTGTATGAATTACATATTGCGTTGGGTGTCTCGTTTTCTTGCTCTGAATTAATTAGGCGTCTCGTAATCTAATTCGAGACGCTGAATTTATACCGCGACGCCTTTCCCGACGCCGAACACTCTGTGGCTTGGGGGGGTGACTGTATATTGGATGATTGGGAGTCGATCCATGGCAGGTGCTGGCCTCGCTTGCAACGGAACCCGGGCCCGACAGGCCGAGCTGCCGACTCGGACCCTTGCCATATACTTGCGCGTTGCTTGTCTGAGGTCACTCGCGCTGCCTTGGGCACGGCCTTTCAAGGCCACATTGCCCGCGATGACTGTCTGAGGTCACCCGCGATGCCCGCATTTGGGGAATGGACTTTCAAGGCAATCGATATGTTCGGACCCCGTCAAAATCATTGATGCATGCTGCCTGGTATCCCTGCTGCTCTCTGTCACGGGCCGCGGGTGTCGCGGCGCGCAGCATCCAGCATCTCCTTCCTCTTCCTCCTCCTCCTCCGCCCCCTCCTCTCCCTACCCCTCTCACTCATGGTCTATAGATGGAATCGCATGCATCCTTTATGGATGCGCCCGCTGATGGGCGCGCACGCGGTGTGAAAGAAAGTGGGGAACCATAAAGATCATCCTCCCTCCCTCCCTTCCCCGCGGCCCTCCCAGCCTCCCCCAATCCGTC